CGGGCTGCAAGTTGTCCTAGAAAGTCCTCCACCTTGCGGAGGGTGGTGAGTTGGCAGGAGTACAGTACTAGAAAGACCCCAACAGGCTCATTTTGTGACCTTAGCCCACTGTCTTAACTTCCCTAACCCTGACACCTCATCATGAAGTGGAAATGCTTAGTAGGGTTTTTGAAAGGGTTAAATAGGATAAGGGATGAACTGCGTTTAGCACAGTACCTGGCACATCGTGGCTCCTCCACTCCGTCCCCCTCCGGGTTTAGATGTCAGTTTCCACCTAGGTGTTTTTTGTGGTTGTCTGTTTGCTTTTCCATTCATTAAGGAAAGATTTACTGAGCATTTACAATTTGTGCTTGGTGCTGGTTACTAGGACTAAGACCAAATACCAATTTTTCCAAAGAGCTTTTTATCGTTGAGAATCTAAGACATTCACATTAAATAATTATAAAACAGAATAGAAAGTGAAAAGCAATGTAAAAAGGTATATAGAAAAGATTGTGTGAGTACAGAGAGGGAGAGAAATTACTAGTGAGAGGGACAGAAAGCAGCTTCGAATAGCTAAAGACGTGTATGGAGTGCTTATATGTCAGTTACCACATTGGGCACTTGACATGTCAGCTCATTTGAAGAATTTGAAGTATGAAGAGGATGGGAAAGGGCATTCTAGACAGAGACCAGCACAAGGAGTTACATAAACGTATTGCGTGAACAGAGTCCAGTTTGTGTGCTATCAGGAAAGCGTGTTCTAAATCTTAGAATGATTTATTATTTTTAAAGCATGTTAACATAAAAATTATACTTAAGTTTAAAATCTCCTTTGAATATAAGGACCCTTAGATAGTTTATTTTGCCTGGAATGCAAGGTTTATGAACAGTAATAGAAAAGGGTTTGGAAAAATAGGTTGGGACCAAACCACAGAAGATTTTATAAGGCAGACTATGGATTTTGACTTTATTGTATAAGAAATAGAATGCTGGGAGGAGGGGGGAAGCTTATAAGCAGAGGAATGACACAATCAGATCTATGTTTCAGGACAGTTTATCTGGCAAGGTATTGAAAGAGTCATAGGGAAGGGGCTGGTTAGGAGACAGTGCTTGTGAATGCTTGTAGATGAACCGATACAACGCCTGGCACTGTGCAGGTAGCAATTCTTACTAGGTGAGTGATACTGATGGCCTGAGGTGGGAGAGAGATGGACATCAAGGCAGTTAGAAGTCAAGGCGTTGGGTACTATCTCATAAAGCATGCAGTCAGAGAGAGCTGGGAGTCCCGTCCTAGTCTTCAGCAACTGCTCAAGGACTGCTCCAGGACTGTTTAAGCGCTCATGCTGCTGGGATGCACCGGCCCACAGTAGTGCGCTATGACAACGTCACCAGATACGGCCTGTGTGGAGATTCAAGATTATCATCAAGCAATCTGCTCTGGTTTGGTGTATCTTGAGTTCTGGTGGTTGCAAGATAGCACACAGAATCAGAATTTTTAGAGCCACAAGGAACATTGGAAATTATCTAGTCCAACCCTCTTGTTCTCCTGATAAGGAAACTGAAGCCCAGATTGTCAAGTGACTTTTCCAACATTACATGATCAGTGATAAAGCTGATACTAAAAATCAAGTCTCATAACTTTTGCCATTGCAGTAGTTTAACATATGCATCCCTTTTTTTCTTTTTGTTCTGCATTGTAAACCAGAAGCAGGTTAGTGAAAAGAATGTGGATTTTTGGAGTCCAGCATGTATGGGTTTGATTTGTTTCCTGCTTACTGGTAGTGTGATCCTAAACATGTCGAGTTTTCTCTTTGAGCCCAATTAGAGGAGACATAATAGCTCACCTACAGGATTGTAGTGAGGATTACAACTAATATGTAAATGAGTAAATATACAAAAAGAGTAATATGCAAAGAGTAAGTGTTCAACAAATAGTAGCTATTAGTATATACTTTTCCTGTCCCCCCAAAACCCACAACACAGTGGAGATGGCATTAAAAACAAATGATTATAATTCAAATAAAAAATGATATACACACATAAAAGATTCTATGGGAACACAATGAGTAAGGAACTCATTTTGACTGAGACACTTTAGAGACTGTTTCAGAGAAGTTTGATTTACACTGGGTCTTGAAGGATGAGTAGGAGTTCTCTGGGTAGAGACGGGACTGTGCATTTTCGGTTGTGAAAAATCATAGAAGTGTGAAATAGCATGCCTTAGTGTGTGTGTGTGTGTGTGTGTGTGTGTGTGTGTGCGTGTTGGCGGGGAGTGATGAAGATCATTGGAGGAGGGGGCCTAGAGAGGGTCTTCATGCCATGCTAGAGAATTTGTGCTTTTGGACTTTATTCTCTGGTGATGAGAAAACCAGTGTGTGCGTGTGCGCGTGTGCGCATGTGTGCATGTGTGTGTGCACACGCGTACACGTGAGAGAGGGAAACAGCTTTATTGAGGTGTAATCTACCTACTATAAAATTCACTCATTTTAGTTGTACTATTCAGTGATTTTTAGTAAGCTTAGGGAGTTTTGCAACGATCAACATTACCAAGTTTAGAACATTTCCATCACCCTGGAAAATTATTTGTGCCCATTTGCAGTCAATGTTTCTTCTCATCCTCAACCCTAGGAAAACACAAATCTGCTTTCTATCTATAAATTTGCCTTTTTTTCTGGATATTTCATATGAATCAATCATATGTGGCCTTTTGCATCTGGATTCTTTTTCTTAGCAGAATATTTTTGAGGATCATCCATGTTGTAGCAGGTATTATTTCATAATGAATTATAGCCCATTTATGAATATGCCTCATTTTGTTTACCCACTTGACAGTTGATGGACATTAGGTAGTTTCCACTTTTTGGCTATTATGAGTAATGCTGCTGTGAACATTTGTGTACAAGTTTTTGTGAACTTTGTGTTTTTATTTCTCTTGGGTGGGTACCTAGGACTGGTATTGTTGGGTTGTACGGTAAATTTATGTTTAACTTTTTAAGATACTGCCAAGCTGTTTTCCAAAGTGATTGTACTGTTTTATTCTTTGGAATTTTGAGCAGAAGAAAGATCTCGTTTTCCGTATCTGATAAACTGAGAAACAAACTCCAAGTTGAATGAGAAGCCAATTTCGGTTTTAAAGAATTTATAACAGTAGGTACTTATTTTGAGTTTGTAAATGTTTCATCAGACCAAAATTTCAAAAAGAATGCTTAAAACTGCAAGGGCTTGGCTAAGTAAAGTTATTGTAATTGTTACTAGGTGTGTATTTCTTCTGGTGGACCAAACAAAGACAGAGAAATGTGCAAGATCTGCATTCCCAGCCTGTCAGCAGCTAGCATCCCCAGCACATGAGCATGGCTTGGTCCTTTAACAGACCTGTATGAGAAGCAGGCCTGCTTTGCACCAGTCCATTTGATCCAAATGCACATTAGAAGTAGAAGCCTAATTTTGAGGGGCTACACTGATCTTGCCCCATGAAACAAAGCTTAGTAGTAACAGTAGCAACTAGGACATATGTCTGTGGTCAGGTCTTACTGACTAGTCTATGGTTACTTCTTTGGCTTTATCTCCAAGATAAATAATAACCTGACCCTTGTTTTCTTTATCTAATTCTCCCATGAGATCATGATAAACAGAACTGTAAGATGTCCTTCTTATACTCCTGTGTAAGTACCCTTTTTGAAGTGGAGCAAGCTAATCCACGATGGGGAGGTGAGTGTAAATCACTGTTTTTATCAGAAGGAGCTTAGGCATGAGTTTGGCCAAAGCCAAAGGCCTAGAGGTGACAGATTTCATATTTTGAACTTCACTATTTCCATTAACTCTCAATTTCCCAATATACTGGAAGGTGGTGAATATTTATAATTATATGGAATTAATTTGACAATCCACATATATTTCACATGCATAATGTTATTCTTCCTCTTCTCTAAGGCAGCTGGAAATAAAAGCAGGATTAGGGACTGTCTGTTACATGTAGCAATTTTGGGGATCAATTCAAATATTTATTTTACTGAGTGCAAGAGACACTTAGGTATTGTAGTGTGTGTGCTATGGAGAAAAATGCCAACTTAGTTGCCTTTATTCTGACTTCAGAATAGTTTATAATTTGAATGTCCTTGATGTTACTTTAAAAATAATTTATAGTGAGGGTTTTGCCTTGTTGTAAGAGTGATAATTAGGCGATGTTAAATTAATTGGTTCGCTCTTATATAATCTACTCAAGAGGAAGGGTGGGGCTGGAGGGATTTTTGGTCTTTGGCTTCATTAAAGTCTTAGGCAGCATTTCTGATGTTACATTTTGAAGATTTCTAAAGCAAAGATGACAAAGCACAGTGTGCATTCAGGACTTCTCCCCTCCTACACTCAGAGCGGATACCACTGAGGAGTCGAGGGACCCTTGTCCTAGGAGACAGGAAGCAGCCGGAGAAGCCTCTATCGATCAATAGTCGTTAGCTCACAAGCAAAACTTCTTTCTTTGTCTTCTCTGATCAAAAGGGTAGTCTGCTCACTATACACGTTTTCCCCTCTGCAAAACGGAATGAATTCTTTTTTTAAGTACTGTATTATACATCAGTGCTTCTCAAACTTTCGTATGCAAACCAGTCACCTGGGGATCTTGTGAAAATGCAGACTCTGATCTAGTAGTTCTGGGGTGGTGCTCGGGATCCTGCATTTCTAATGAGGTCAAGGTCACAGGTGATACCAATGCTACTGGTCTCTAGACCACACTTTGAGTAGCAAAGGTCTACTAGACTGTTCTCTCGAGACAAATGTGAGCTAGAAAACTGTGTATAGTGCAACTCAGAAAGAAAAAAAAAAGAAGAAAAACAAGGCGAGTATTCCATTAGAAGCTGAAGTTTTATTATAGGATAACAGTACATAAAGCACATCTAAAATTGATGTGTTCAATGCACTTTTAATAAAGGTAATGTAATATTAAAGGTACAGTTTCTAAGTACAATATAACAACATTCATATTAGAATGAAAATTGGAGTATTTAAAAGACAACATTAAATCTCTCTTTTTTTACAGCTTGTATTTACAAAATGAATCAAAATATTTTTTTAAATTCAGGACACAATCATATAACAAACAGCTGGAAATAAGCAGACTACTGTAAGAGTGAATTGAAAAGAAAACCCAATGTATGTGAAAAGTTGGATGATCTTCTAATAAAGATCATTAGCAAAGTTTTAGTACAATACTAATTTTAGGATACCCATAAATGGCTTGCATTTTTAGTGTGGCAGAAAAGTTTTTACATACTGTACACAAAACAGACAGATATATTTATAGGTACAGTATTACTGTTTCTGAACTTGCGTGTATATTTACAGAAGGCTGAGTTTGTTACTCACAAGTTTTGTGAAATTTGTGTGCTTAATCTGCAAGACCTACACACAATTAGAATCAGCATTTCATGTGGTCTTTTTAAAGGGGGATTTAATACTTGGTTGCAGAAGAAAGTGTTAACCATAAGGCTTGGCATACTTTATAAATTTACCATAACAACCCAGAGAAAGAATTTGGTTTGGGGCACACTTATTGTCATTTAACAATTACCAAGTGCTGGCATGTGCTGGCCATTGTACAGACACAAAGCAATACAATCTCTATCATCCGAAGCCTAGGATACTGAGCGGTGCTTTAAAAAAAAGTTTCCATCTGTTTCTAAGCGAAGCAATAAGGAATGGCATGATTTGTATTAAAAGAGATATTTCCTTAGACTGTAGCCAATTCACTTTAAAAGGTTAACTATTAGCATTAGCTTTCATTAACCACATGATTGCATTTATAATTAAGGTAACAGCAACTCTTCCATAAAAATGGAAAATGTCTAAATTGTGGGTAAATATGCAGTGCATGGAAGCCAATAACCATGGCTTGAGAATTTATCACCTTCAATTACAAAAAGTGCATTAAACAGAAACATTTGCTCTATATTTATAAATTGCTCAAAAATCTTTGCTAAAGATCTTACAAATTCAGTAATATTACAGAACAATTCTAATCAATATTTAATAAGGTTAACTACATCCTTAGTTAGATATTTGATATACTTTTATTTTTAACAATGCCAATAGGTCTTGGGAGAATAAGTGAAAGAGTTTAAGCTCATTATTAAATGACTTTTAAAACGAAGGTCCTTCACTCAGTTCATGGAACTGGTTGAGGTCATATTAAAACAGCACATCCTTTGTCGAATTTGCTCTATGGCCCAGGTTCTGCCATGACAGTGGATGTCTTCATACTTCTTATGGCTCAGGTAGGAGGGGAAAGGTTTATTCCGCCATCAAGCCACCAAGAATATTTTATAGAAGTGCCTATTATCTATAATAGGAGCTAAGTACACAACCCTGTTAGGTGTCTATAATATAATTCCTTAGTAAGAAAAAAAAAAATTACTCCATTAAACTAGAGTTGTTTCTTTAGGATCTTGAAGGCCTGGCAAATTATTTTTCAGCTCAGGAGATATGGTATAAAGCCAAGTAGCAAACATAAAGACAATGCTAATAAAGTTTTCATATATCCATATTTATAAACAAATTCACCCTATAGATGTCAAATATCCATACTAAGGAAGTAATTTTATCCTAATTAAATACACTCTAGAATAATTTATATAATGATATTATGTATTTAAAGAGAAAAGCATGTCCCAAATCCAGCACTCTGATACAGCTGCCAGTTGGGCACAGGTAGAGATATATATATATGTATATATATACAAATATATAGTTATACTCAGTGAAATTAACAAGACCCAAAGGTGGTATTGTCTAGGAATAAAAGGGTTCTTTTTTTGTTCACAAAAGTAACTTATCTAGCACCACACATCAGAAAAACACAAAAATAGCACACTCTAGTTCTAAACAGCTATGTCTAAAATAGATTATATAGTAAAACCAGTATTATACAGCATATTGTGGATTTGATAAACAGATAAATATTTGCACTGAGTAGGCTGTTTATAATATAACATTTTCTTATCTATACAGAATAAAAGCCAAAAAGTTAACTGTATAGAGATGTGCAGAACAACATTAAATATTATGACTCAAAAGCAGGGATGAAGGTAAATTTGAAAGAAGAGTAAGAGAGAAAATGTTTACAGGCCATTACAAGTTCTTAAGTTAATAGTAAATAAGGAATCAATTGCTCGAGTTGAAGAAAGCAGTAAACAAGAGATTGCATTTACATGCAGATGTCTAAAATTTGTATTTTTTTAAGTCTATGCACAAAAGTCATTTGTTTTATTGCTTGACATTCAGTTATGGCTAGATATTTAACCTATTTGTTTTTTGTACTTTGGAAACAAGAATATTGTTAAAGGTGCCATAAAAATGGACAACATTGAAAACGGTTTGCAAATAAACCACCTAACACTGCAGTTCTTTATACATATTAAAAGCCTTGTCTGGGGTTTGTCATATGTTAAATATATTTAAACTGGGAAAATATGTTGTAGCTTGAAGCCTCCCATTGGCCCAAACATCCAATACAAAAACACATCTCCACAAAAGGAGCAGGCAGACAATACAGGTACATTTAAAGAAGCAGCCAGCTAATGTCCTAATGTATAAAAGTTTACCACTGTTTTATGTGAGATTCCACATGGTGGCTAGAAGAGGATTTTGGATTCAGGGAGGTGTGTACAGTACATACGGATATTTTCGCGCGTGAAATCCTATTCCCTCTCTGCTCAAGAACGATCTGCATTTACACATGTCGTCTGTCCCATGCTGACCGAGTTCCTAGCAACAGTATTTCACCCACACTGCAGTAACAGTGAGCAAGAAAGGAATCACACATGAACACTGGAGAAAATTAGTTGCTCTGAGAGAACAACATACTGACATGTGCAGCATGTCCAAGCTGAGTGCAAGCTACCTTTCCTTAGTTCCTAGAAGAAAAACAGGAAAAGACGTGTGATACTGCTGATGTGGTAAACACACTAAATGTAAACAGCAAACACGGATTCTCGAGGCATCCATTTAAAATATTCATGCTCACTTTCTTAACACAAGACCCCCATTTATGTTTCACTGCTAAAAGACGTTTCTATTTGGATCGACGATTCTGTCATTCATTTATAAAGAAAGCACTGAATGTATTTATTGCTCTAAGTTCTGAGGGCCTGTTTAAACATGAAGGTCTCCCGCCCTCCCCCATCGACAGTGTTTCCTTGGTATGAAACCAGGCCTTTGGATCATTTTAAAAATCGTTCTGAGAGCCTGCCAAAACTGATCTCCCGCTCACTAACAAGCAAGCAAACAGGCCCAAAGTGAAAGCAGTTGCTTGGGAAAGCCACTGCTTGTTGGCCTTCTCGCGTCTTGAGAATAAACAGTCATAGGAAGGTCCCTTTAATGAAATCTGGTGGAACTTCTTTAATAATACTAGTGTTGAGGGACAGAATGAAGACCTGTATGGTCGACTATTAGCAACAGATCAAGATTTACTGTTGTCGTCGCCTTTCTGGGCACATCATCTGATCTGTAATATAAAGTTGTTTTTATGGGGTTCTGCTGTGTTGTCCCTTTGTAAGAAGTGGTAATCAGAAGCTGTAAGATGTAAAACTGTCAATTATGTGTGTATATGTATATGTATAGTGTGTGTATATACGTATACATATATGAGAGAGAGAGAGAGATGTCTGCCTATTTCCATAGTCTATTATCAAAAACAAGGTAAAGGCTTCTTTTTGATCTAAATGACATGAAAAGTTTTCCTAAATTATGCCCCTGTGTGATCATAAAAAAAAATATGTAAAAAAATATCTGAATGTTTATTCCAAATATGAAATGGAAGAATCAAAGTCAACAATTACACTGAGATTCACTGACTTTATGGAAATCAGTATGTTGAAATAGGAGAACAAAACTGTCTTTCAAAAATGTAAAATGTGCCTCTAAAAGGTGGCTCATATTGTTGTTACGAGGCGGGCTTTGTTTATCTTTAAACAGTAGCTCTTGTATTAATTCGACAGATTAAAAACTACAAATGTGGATGGAGAAGACTTGTGTTACATAAAGGGACTTTTATTTGGTTTGCTTTTAGAGGAGACCACAGTGAAAATAATAGTTGTTTGCTGCCATTAAAAAAACATGTTTTACCTTTTACCTCTCTCACTCCACTAATAGGCAGGGCCTTTATCTCATTTGGTTTAAAAGTTTTTTTAAAATCCATATTATATAGAATTTGAAGTATTTTTTAAATATACTGTATAATGCTATAAATATATTTATCATGAGTATTTTAATTATCCAAGAAACGGTAAGTGGAGTATGCAGGACTGTACTTTGAATGATGCTCTCTGTTGGTATATGACCTACTAATTTATCTTTTGACATACTGGCATAGCTTTCTACAGCTCTGAAGGTTATTCAATGTTTTTAATACACAAGACTGAAGAACACATACGTTTTGAACCTAACACAATGAGATGATAGTGAAGTTTACACACATGCAGTTAGTTCTACACAGTTCACTTGTGCCTTGGAGGGATAGTATTATCATTATGATTAATAATAAAAAACACAATTTGTCCCAGTAGTACTGGCCACCCTGTTTTAAAGAGTTTTAGAAGATCCCTGAGCACATTGTTTCTGACTCGTAACCCCAACTCCAAAACGATAGGGCTTTCTATTGTTGATAGCAAGATGGATTGTCATTCACAGTAAGTCAATCATAAGGTGCTTATCTACCCTTTTTTTTTTCTCACCAATCAGCACAAAGAACTGTCAGAAAATAACTTTTTATTATTAGTATCTTAACAGCACTGGAAGGACACATGATTTAAACAATCAATGTTTGAGACAGTGGCTTTAGGGTTATTATCTGGCTGCCCCTCAACAAGAACAAGTGATTCAGTCGACATTCCTTAGCCAAAGACAAAAGGAAACAACAACAACAACAACTGTACAACTATGTATTTTTCCCTGAGGGGTCAAGGTACACCCGCGAGTGCTCTATGTACATATTGCACTAGAGAGGAATGAAGAGCGTGCAAAACAGCAACGATGAGAGAGGCTCACACCCTACTTAACCCTTTCGCTCGAGGTTCTCCTAGGTGCTTCTGCAGTTTGGAATGTCGGAACGCCAGCAGCTGTTCCTTAGTCTACAACTAAAGACACGTGTTTCCACTATGGCACATTCAATGAAATAAAAAGTTTTCCAAAGACAGATAGACAAATTCCATCAAGAAAATAATACAAAGTTTGTTTGTGTGTGTGTGTGTGTGTGTGTGTTTTAGAAAATTACATTACTTTCTTTCTTTGTTTCACATTACAAAATCTTTTTTTTTTTTTTTCTTTACACAAATCACATTTTATTGCAGGAATAGTTCAAGTGCCATCAAATATTTATAGAAGGGTTAAAAAAATAGAAGTCTCTCTAAAGTGGTCCAGACAAGGCTTTGTATAGAATAAATCTTTTTTTTTTTCCCCCCATCTTCTAGTTTTGATTTAAGTATTTTGAATACATTTTCTTTTCCATTGACACTTAGTAGCCTAGAAGCGGTCTGACACACGCACGTCATACAGGAAAACCACACGCACACACTCACGCTCACGCACACACACACACTACCTCCGCACTTGACCCTCAGCCCACCCTCTCTACGCTCACAGACATCTGGGAATCCACACTATAAAGAACAACCAAACTTAGAAGCAGTGTCTTAAGTCATGTTTTCCTTAAGTTAGGAAGGGTGAATTAGGATGCTGAAGACTTTTTAAAAAATCCATAGCTTTAACATAAATTAGGATGCTGAACACTTAAAAATAAAAATCCATAGCTTTAACACAATTTGCAAACTGTCCAAAAAAGCACTTTCATCTGCACTTTTGATTTCATTGTGACCGAGGCCAGTTTCTTCACAACAGAATGCAACCGTTTGGACACCACTGTAGCCGATGGCACTCGGGCTCTGCACAGAGCCTCACTGACCCGAAGGAAACACTGCACCAAAGGCCTTACAGCAGCAGGGATGACAATGATGTGATTCCAATACTTAAAAGACTATTGGACATTTATGTTTAGGGAACTTTATAAGAACTATTGTGAATAATTGTTCGGTATCACCAAATAGTTTGTATCATCACACAGGTGTTTCTATAATAAGAAAATAAAAATGCAACGTTTTGCATACCCTTTTCTAGACTTCCTGGTTTTTTCAGCTGAATTTATTGTTTAACTTCAGATCTCAACTTTAATCCAAATAATAGTTGTTCCCTCATGTCACGGAGCATGCCTCCATGACACTGTTCCTACCCTATAGATGTACTTTGCTCTTAGAGTCCACACCCTGCTTTTCTTTCACAAAGACCTAGTAGCAGCATCGTGTCAGTGTATCTCGGTTTACTCTAAAAGCAATGTCACCATAGGGTGACTATGACTGTGATTAGAGCATCTTTTTATTTTTTTTGCATTAAGTACATGAAAAATCCTTTCTGGGAAAAGGAATTTCTTTTAGGTTCAACATTATGTTCTCTCTCACCCTTAGAGAAGTTCAACGAACTCTTATCGTTTCATTAATGGACACTGGAATTAGGTTTAGTTGCTCTTTAATGCGCTAGCACCTGAGGCTGGTCATATTCAGAAAGCTTTGGTTAAAAAGAAGTTAATATACTTTAATAAAACCATCCCCAAATTTAGTGAATCAGAACGACAAAAAACAACAACAAAGAAAACAAAACCAAACCAAAATAAAAATACACCATTTTCCCCCAAAGGAGAAACAATAGGAAAAACACAGACAAATAAATAACTGAACTAAGCTTGGTACTTTTTTTCAGAGTATAAATACTATTGCTCTTTAAAGGAACTATGCTTATTTAAATTAAAAATTTGATTTAACCCTTCCTGCCCAAATATAAATACTATACGCTTATAGTTAACCTCTCTATATAAACACTCATAAAGTTTCATAGGCTTGTAAGAAATTTAAGTAAATAATACTCTTGTCTTCTATTTATGGTTAAACCCTCACTATATTTTTGAAAAAAAAATTTTTAGATGTCATTTAGGCTTCATACACACTTCTGTGTGAATAATTCCTTCTCCTTTTCTGAGTCCCTCAGGAAACAAGTCAGAAAGTCAATGGAGTTATAAGCAGAGTGAAGGGCTCGGGGAAGCCTGAGCTGCGATCCAGCATCAGTTCCCATGGGACAGTCAGGGGGGCCCTGGTGGCCAAGGAGACACCTCCTCCTCTATAAAGGGCTGCTTGGAAACTCCCACCGCTACACGGAGGATGTTCCCTTTTCTGAACAAACATGGCCTTGGATGTCAGACCAGACGTTTGACTCCTACCCCGAGTGGGACTGAAATCATCATCAAAATGCCTACGTTCCCAAAGGCCACTTATTTTTAAAATATGCACACTTGTATATCAGACAGTTCCTTCTCCCCTTCCCCATTGGGAATTATTTTTAAAAACCCACAAAATTTAAAAAAAACACACCAAACAACTCACTATTTCTCACCTGAACACCAAAGCCAAACAATCTTCTAAATATTTAATGAAATAAATTACAGTCCACAGTTTTCTAGCGACGATAAATACGAAAGTAAATGTTTGCAGTTAGCACTGACTTCACTTTAAAGGCTTAAAATATTTAATATTTAAATAACAGAAACTGGTTCAACATGGTATGCCTCCCTCACCCTCTCATTCATTGTCTATGAAATATGGAGAGTAACATTCTAGAACTACAGCATCTAGAAGCAGCTAGACTAGAAATAGTTCACTCTGAGATCAACTCTTAGGGTTCCTAGATTATACCACGAACATAAACATTCACAAAGCGAATGCTTCCTGTCCTCACCTGGGGAGTGTGTGTTTGCTCCACAACCAATCTTTGGGTCCTTCTTATAATAAAAGCTAGATTCCAGTAAGATATTCTGGTTCCTGATTTGTTCTCCAAGCATATAACTGAATTCCAACTTGAGACTGACTCTATGTCACTACTGACTTGTATAAAATGAGCCTCTCCTTCTTTCTCTGCCTCCTTGAGGTGGCATTTTTAAAAATAATATGCACGATGATCTAAGTCCACAGCACCAATCAATCACTCAAACTTTGTACGAAGCATAAACACATCTATCCTTAAACTTACCCAAACACAAAGTGTAATTTAGGGAGAGTTCCATTTCTAATTCCCAATTCATGGGTTAAAAAAAAAAAAAAAAAATCCAACATCATGATTTCTAGATATGACCAGCCAGTCTTTTAGAAGTAATTTTGTAAACAGCAGCATAAATATCTCCCAACGTACCTCCCGAGCCTTCTCAGTTAAACTTGTGTTTCTGGTGCGCATGCGACACGGCAGTGAACACGCTAGCATTTAATTTAAAGGAAAAGGTGCCAAACGAAAGTGCCTTATCAATTCAACAGGAAAAGCTACACCAGTAACTACATTTTATATTAATCAAAACAATATATAAACAATATCTCTTTTAGCTATATATAGTCTTCATGCCCATTTACCCTGTAATATATTATAATGCTATTGTTGCTAGTGCTATGGACCCTTTCCGCGCCCTCCTGCCGACTGGCAATAATCGGTGGGAAAAAAAATAAAAACTTCCTTCATGAGACAAAGAACAAGTTGTGCAAAGTGACGCTGCAACCTCCGCTATGCACACCGGTCACCGATCATTGCTGGGCTCGCGGGTCACTAACAGATTGGCGATTCTGCAGAAAGTCTGTGGGCAGTGAGCTACAAGGAAAGGAAATCCTCCAACTTTTGTACCCTCCTCCTGCTGTAAACAGAGGTCAGCCATCAAGAAGTCAAGACAGAAAAAGGGTCCATATCTGTAGGCATAATGGAAATCATATGCATGAGAAAGACAAGTTCAACTTTTATTTGTTTTCATTGTTTCCCCTCCTTTGCCTGACCCCGATCACCAAGAGATGTGCAGTGTGTTGGCGCTCCAGGTCTGCGCAGGGCCGTGGAAAGTGTCTCGGTTAATATGTTTTGTTTGTTTTTCATGTTTGTACTTCAGACATTCTAGAAGTGCTTTAGGTGATACATTTACCCATCAATTTGCATCGCTGGCTCAAATTCTGAAGTGAACAACTCCTTGTATAAGGGAGGAAAGTGAAGCCGCACAATGTCTGGATATATTGCTTTAAATGCCATTAGCTTTTCTGTATGTCGTCCGCATAAGGCTCTTAATGTAGACACCTTGCATATTAACTGTAAGTGGGAGAAAGGACATGTTGTCAGGGGGGGAACAGATATGAGGATCAATATTCGGGGAATCTGGGTGATCTTTACATTGTTTATAATAGTGAAACACACTTAAAGCAACTTAAATGTCTAGTAATGGAGGATTGGTAAAAATAGGGATGAAACAGTTATAGCTAAGAAACACTAGCCACATGATATGTGGCAAGGGGTAATTCAGGCTATGCCTACTGGATACCTTTGGCTCTCACCTTTGTTAGTTATAACTATAAAATAGTTATAACTATAAAAAAGTTATAATTAATGGGTATACATTCAACTCTAATGATGAGTTTCTTCAAGAGAAAGAGTCTGCCTAGAACAAAGCGATTCTGGATCTAAGTCTCTGGCTAAACAAAGAAAGAAAAGTCAGAAGGCCTGGATGGAAGTCCCAGCGTTGACCACTGACCAGTTGAAAATAATATGATTTGCAAAAATGCTTTTTAAGCTCTAAAGCACTATGCAAGCACAAAATACTGACTATTTCAACCCAGAAAAATTCCTCTCTAAGAAATGTTTTCACCAGACCATAGATCTTGTCCATGTGTTAGGTACTTTTTATAACAGAAGAACCTAATGGTACCCTTGCATCTGGGTAAGAAGATGCAGAAAAGAGGAAAGCTCCTGAGAGTTCATCTGCCTTCAGTTCCCATTCTTGCCCCAATTTTTCATTTAACAGGTGCAAAATAGAAAACAAAGCAGCAATTAACTTCCAATTTCCTCTTCCTGACTTAACTTAGCTATCAGGAGAAAATCAGAGAAAATAAATAAACAGGAAAAGAACTCTTTCAAATCATCCTCTAGAACAAAACACATAAAATAATCTAAGAAAGGGCTGATTTTTCTAAGACCAAATACATACTCCTGGCTCTAGTACTGAAGAATATTAGCATATTTTAAATTGACATCCTAATTATGCTTTTATTGCAAAAGATAATAATTAGCAAAAATGAAACCTTATGCTTTGAATACAGGGTAGTAATGGGAAATTGATGAAGAAAATAAAAAAGTCATTTACCGTTGATGACCGATGAATTGAGTGGAAATAGAACTAATAGTGGGATATATGGTTATCCTGGTTAATTGTTTCAGTGCTTCATAACTTTCAAAATTCAAAAATTCTCTAATTTCTATCAAGGCAGAACATTAACTCTGCTTTGTGTTCAACTTTGATGGAAGAGGAAGAGAATTTCCAGAATGTATTAATGCTTAAAAAGTTCTACTATTTCCCTATTATTGTAGGGCACTTTATGACCAGTGATGAGAAATAGAATTTAACCTGAATTTTGGCCCAACAGAACTTTTTGAAATGGAGGCATTTCTTTCCTTTCAGTAACCTGGTGCTCACTGACACTTCTGGGGGGCTGGTCAGATGACTTACAAGGGCGCTTGGCAGCATGGTATGTGGCAGGGGGTAATTCAGGCTATGCCCACTGGGTACCTTTGGCTCTCACCTTTGTTAGTATTCCATCTTCTCGGTGATTCTTCTGTAGGACGTGTTGGAGAGCTAGCTGAATTTTCTGTTGCAGTTTTTCAATTTTTACCTTTTCCTGCAGCCATGAGCGATCTAAACGTGAAAGATGACATTCCTTAGTGTTTCTCCAACATGGTGTCAGACACCCCAATTCCTCCTGACTCTCAGACCCAGAGTTTAACACCACAAGGCAGAGTTACAGACCAACCGGCCAGTTTCACTGTTCGTTCAAAATATACTCCTGAGGGAGCGGAAAACTGATCTATGACAGTTATAAAGGGTATTAAACCTCTCCATTTTTACTGACACTTAAAGGAAGGGAAGGTCCTCCCCTTCCAAATGGATAGCCATTTAAATCTAAGGTCATATATGTACAAGTGCAATGAAATCTCCATGGCCCCTCAAGCCTTTCTAAGAATAACATTTTTGAATGAAATACTCATAGCAATCCTGCTAGCTTTTCTGGAAAATATGAAAATAACCTTATAATCTAAGGCAACTAAAACTGTAATAGAATTCCAGATGATGTAAAAGTTGGTAATTTAGGGCGAAGTCTTTATGTGTAAGAATTCCAAGTAGAAGATAGTAAATTAGTAAAACTGATGATCTCCAAGAGGCAGTGCTTTTTGAAAACATGGATTAAATTCAGATAAGCTTGTGGATGACATCCAAGTGGATTTCAGGAAAAAGTTGAATGTTATCTTGGAGACTGGTATTAAGAAGGGTAACCCAATTCTACCATAGCATTTCTCTTGGTATCAGGAGGTTAATTGTGGACTGGGTTGTACTCAATTCTCATTTCTTAAGATTTTAGCAGAATGGCATGAGGTCTTCTTAAAAGGGTGTATGTATGTGTGTCGGGAGGCTGTTATTTGAAAAAATTGAAAATAGATTTAATAAGCGAGGCAGCCTCTCCTGAATATTCTAGACGTCATGGACCTTGTAAAAATTCTTTACCTGGACAATTTTTAAACCATTTTATTTTTATTTGGTTATCTTACCTGCTGACATCAGTACAAATGCAGAAAATAATGCAATTTCATCTTCAGTCAGGTGCATAGAACATAAACTCTTTCCAAATTCAAATACAAAGCTAATAAAGTCTTCACAACCTGCCAACATTAAAATAAAGACAGTTTAGGATTTTAATTATTATCCTAGCAGAAAAATATGGAAGAAGGTGAAAAGGGGTTTAGTAGTTGAAGATCAGAGGGGATAGTGATAACATTTCTACGGTTTAATAGTTTGAAATCTTAGAAGACAATTCTGTTTTGCCAACGTCACCATCCCCACCACCATCCCCACCATCATCTCGTCATTCAAAATAATGGGAGTGAACTTTTGCTGAATGACTTGTATGTTAGGTACTGCTCTGAGAGCTTTCTTTGGCTTTCCTACTATTTCACAATAGCCCTATGAAGGAAGTATGATTTTTATTATTCCCATTTTAGAGGTTAGGACGCAGACTTGGAGAAAAAAGTCATGTACCTAAGGTTACACAGGTAGGAAGTAACACCCTGAGATTCCAATTCAGGCTGCCTCACTTCAGAGCTCACACTCTTAACCAATAGAGTTTAACAGCTACAACTTCTACAATCTAACTGAAATGTTAAATTCACTCATTTCAGTGTTTGAATCTATTTCATCTAAAAATAAAAACCCTTAAAAATACTAACAAATGACATATTATGGTGGTAAAATCATTATAACTGTTACAGAACTGAAAAAATATATATGTGAAAGTCGTATAAAATAATAATCCACCCCCAAAGATTGGGTAAGTTTGGTGTCTAGTCTTTCAGATTTGCATATCTTAAAAAGTAGGTTTACAGCTGTTCATATGGAAAATAATACAATAATTCATAAACAATATTATGAGAATAAACTGTTTCAAGTACTCACAACTGTAAACATACTTTTGCGCTACCCTGTATTTTAAATGGAAATGGGCTACACTATATTAAGTATACACACCTTCTGTCATTTTATTGTTTTTAAAATCACATAAAATATCTTAGATACTGTCCCATTCTTCTTAATAAGTATACCCCACTTCATTTAAATTATAGAAATCCAATGTAATTTATAAAGTATGTGTTAGTTTCACTTAGCTATACTTCATTTCTCTGACATCTACATTTACTTTTCATTAATGATTGTTATCTGAGGAGTTAGGAAGGGCAGACTTTTACCTCTTTGCTTGATTTTATATATCAGATCTCATCCTCTAATTTATAACATATCCCCTGTCTACCTGGATCTAAAAATCTGGAAGGACACTGGGAGGACAGATAATATAAATTTCTTCGATTACCAACTAGATAAAACGAAACTTTAGACCTTTACATGTAATATAGACAAAAAACACTTGAGGTATGTGAATTTTCTGTAGTGTCTAAAATAGGTATGAAATTCTTTAATTAGTGTTTCCAAATAACCAGTTTCCATTTTGTTCAAGAAGAGCTTTTGCTCAGCTCCCATCTGTTCCTGTAACTGATTTAAAGACAAAACAGCCAGAGATTTCCTTACCTAAGGATTTGAAGACATCGGGCCCAGCGTATTTCCCATCAAAGTACACGGTGTTGTTCTGAGAGTCAAAGGCACGGCACATTCTGATGAACACCACCTCTAGAGAACCTAGGCAAAGGCAAGATGGTCTGGATTATTCCACCTGGGGAAATTTAATTCAAACGGAAATGGGCTACACTATACTTAAGTATACACACCTCTGTGTATATTGGTTACCCACTAACGTGGACACCCATTTCTGAGTGGGCGCCCCGGGCGTTGTTTAGCTAGGGGGCTCTCAGTCACTTTAGCTCTCTGCTTAAAAGAGCCGAGTTCACCAGTGTAATTAAACACTGTGCCGAAGCTGAGGCCTGTTTTACTGAAGAGAGGACTGATTTACAAATTACTTCTTTGTCACTCTTCTGTCTTGCAATATGAAGTTTCAGAGTTGCTAGTCAAACATTTATTCATATTATTAAAGCAAACAAAAAAACCTTGGCTGGGTAGCTCAGACTGTCGTCCTGATACACCAAGGTTGCGGGTTCGATCCCGGTCAGGGCATAAAGATCAACCAATGAACGCATAAATATGTGGAACAACAAATCGATGTTTCTCTCTCTCTCTCTCTCTCTCCCCCCTTTCCTCTTCTCTAAAATCAATTTAAAAAAATTAAAGAAACAAGCAAAAAACCAGGGCTGTCTCTCTGAGGTTCGTCTTCTTCCTAACAACTCATTGGGACCTCCCTAGTGGTGTAAAAACAAAGCACAGGTGATGGTAAGATCAGGGAATGCAGGTGTCCTTCAAATTCAGCTTTTCACCCAGAGGAGAAGCCACATAGAGGGAATGTTTCCTGCAAATAGTTCTAAAACCTTGAAAAAGAACTCAGCCTCTGCTATGAGAAACTCGAGCTGTTATCATCGGAGGAAAACTGTTCCCGACACCTTCCTTACCCAGCATTTCTTTAATAGGCGCGGGAAAGCAGGTTAGGAAGAGATCTCAGAATTCACTTGCAAAGCACATACCTGCTTTGAGAAGCACAATTTGATCGTTTTGACACAGTTCCATAAATCCATCGATGCGTTTGGCAAACTCCACCACGTACTGTATCGCTTCCGTGATTTTGATGGCACACAACTGCCACATCACCTCCCGCTGCTGTGAGGGAGGGAGACACGTTAGCCCGCGCTGTTCCCCGCATCCTTGGCTCCACGGCTTGAACCTCTTTTGTAAAATCCTTCTTTGGAAATAGATTCAAAAAGGCGAGGGGATTTCTATGTTATAAGATCCTATGTGATCATATTGACCGATGTGACCCCAATACATTTAATAAAAAAAGAAAAAAAAGGCTAGGGGATTCAAAAATAAACAGTTAGCCAGTTATTTGGGATATAATGATGGCTCTTCCAAGTCCTTTCTCATCTCCTCCAATTCCTCTCTTACCTCTTCGGTGGCAAAGGGACAGGGGGAAGATGTTATGAGCATTTCTGTGGTGGAAGGTGAAAACGAATGCCACTGCTTTAACCCTGGGCCGGGGAGAGGAGCAAAGCAGGATCTTCTTTTAAGCAATGATTTTGCCTTGGGGAATGTAACACCATTTTATTGGGGGAAGTAGGAAAGAAGGGAGTCAATTACATTTATTGTATACCTGCTATGAGCTGGGTGGTTTATGACATCCTTGCCTGATTTCATTTTCACAAGAACACTTTCTCATTTTCATAAACGGACATGAATGCTCACGGGGGTTTCACGGCGAACAGGTATTGGAGCTAGGGTTCCAATCCTAGTCCAGACACTTTGCTGCTTCTTACTGCTTTCCTGCCTCCTTTTGTAATTCTGGCTGCTGGTGTTACCTGCTATCTCAAAGGCAAACAAAGTGTGTGTTGCTATCCCCCAACCTGTCCTGTTCAACTCTTTTTAAGAGTCTCATGCTCTACCGACTGAGCTAGCCGGGCGCTTCTGTTCAATTCTTTTTAGATACCCACTCTCCAATTCAGTGACAGGGTGACCTGGATCTGTGCTGCTCACTTGTTCCCTCCAATCTCAGTTTAAGACTGTTTCCACCAATATGATGGGATGGAACAAATGCTGAATTAGGAGCCAGGAGCCACAGTCTTGATGTTTGTACTCTCCAGCCACATGCCAATGGACATTAGTTTCTTCCTATGTAAACCGAAGGGCAGTGTTAGCCTAGATAATCTCTCCGGTCCTTCCTAAGCCTGAATTTCTACAATTATCAGGGGAAAACACATTTTCTTTACCCAAAGGAAGAATGGATAATTAAAAGTTCCCCTTGTCTAGCCCTGCTCTCCCATTTCGGTGGCTTGTTGATCAGAGTGTTTTATAGAAAAAAGTCAAGTAGCAACACCTGTCAGCCTCACACTGCTCGGGTCAGACTGGAGTGACAATCACAGATGCCAAGTCTTTTTGTGCACGTACTCTCTAAACTTCTTCTTAACCTCTGGAAACATGAGGCTAAGACTACAGGGGTGGAGAAAGGTAGGTTTACAGTTGTGAGTATGCAAAACATAGTTTATTCTTGTATTATTATTTATTCATTATTGTATTATTTGTATTATAACTGTAAACCTCCTTTTGCCTCCTTCAGTATTTTACATGAACTTCCTGACCTTGACTCAGTCTTCCATTATGATACTGGGACAAACCCCAATTCAACAGGCTTCTGTAAACTGCTTAATTTAGCCCCCTATTGACAAATGACAGGAGATGTGTGCAGTTATAGGCACAAGAGAAGTTGTTTGCTACTGCTGAAATTTTACTTGCTGGTGTCACTGGAAGATGACAGTGCCCCAAATACGCAATCAGCTCTGGATGCAAGTTTTAAACAGAAATCTGCTATCTGAGGAAAGGCATTCATTTTTTGGTCCTTGGTGGTCTTGATCAAGTCACTTGCAGGAAACTCTTCCCACTGCTCCCTCCACCTTCAGTAAAATTCTTCAGAGCATACCTTGTTCTGATAGTTCTCGATCTCCTCCTGCAGAAAGGTCTGCCACGTTATCTGCTGGAGCTCTTCTCGCAAGTATTGGCAAGTTTCCAGATGGGATTTAGATATATTCTGTGCAAGGTGTTCTAAGGAGAAAACAAGAGGTCATGAAATGAAAAGCCAAGTTCTTTGGGTAATCAGTGTTTTTCCCTACCTAATATTTGCTTTAAAAAGTAACAAGTAGAGCTGGGCCGGGCGTGGCTGAGCGGTTGAGCATCGGCCTAGGATCCAGGAGATCGCGGTTTGATCCCGGGTCAGGGCACATGCCCGGGCTGCGGGCTCGATCCCCAGTTGGGGGCGTGCAGGAGGCAGCCAATCAATGACGGCTCTCTTGTCATTGATGTTTCTATCTCTCCCTCTCCCTTCCTCTCTCTGAAATCAATAAAGATATATTTTAAAAAACGTAATGCGTAGAAAGCATCATGCTGAACCAGTTTTTAATTATCTTTATACATTTAAATAAGCAATTTGGAACTATTCTATATTTTATAATATGAGGATGAAGAACAGGCAAAGCCAACAATAAATCTTGGTGACTTCACAGGCACTCCTGACCTAGGCCTTCTTCCATGCCTTTCCACCAGTGTCTGGGAAGGAACACATATTGACCAAGAAAGGTGTGGGAAATGGTGGGCACAGCCTTTCTTGGCATTTTTATGAAGACACGTCTGCCTTATACATTGACTGGAAAGGATTACTCTTGAAAAATTAGGAAGTGGCATTCTTTTATGACAAAAAGCAATGCATTTCTTTAGTTTTTCCTGCAAATAGCAGAACAAGCATTACCAAGGGCCTATTATGTCACTATACATAGTACAGTGGTTAAGAGATAGACTCTGGAGCCAGAATGCCTGAGTTTGAACCTCAGCCCTGCTACTTACTAGCTGTGTGATCTTGGGTAAGTTACTTACCCTCTCTGTGCTTTGGTTTCCTCATTTGTAAAATGAGGAAGATAGTATCTATTTCATAGGACTTTTGTGAGAATTAACTGAGTTGAGGATTTAGGGAGGGTTACAAAGTGTGTGCTACCTAACATTAGTTCTTATACTAGAGTATAGGGAATTTGAAGATATTATAAGAAATAGATGCCCAAAAAGTTTCTCTAGGAATCTATAATCTGGTGAGCATGTATGGACATGCTGAAAGGATAATTCAAGGGAGTCAACAATGAAGTATAAAGTTGAATCATATCAGAAGAGAAAGAAAAAACTATAATGGGTGCTGTCAGGGAAGGAAGAGATGAATGTTGGCTTAGGGAAATCTGCGGGTGCTTCTTGGCAGAAATGGGCCATGTGAGTTGGTCCCTGACGGTGGGTAGGATTTGGTAGGCGGAGGCCAGCGGTGAGAGGGGTAGGCCAGTTCCACATTTGAGGGATGGCAGATGAAGGAAACAACAAAGCATTTATAGGAGACAGGCAGATGTGGTAAAGTGATGGAGTCAAAAGAGAAATATGAGTAGGGAAGAGTCCAAATCCTGAGGACCTTGAATGCTAGGATTGAGAGTCTGCACTTGCTATAACACAAGAAGTCAGCAGGGTTCTCGAGGAGCTGAGGTCCTGAACACTGTGCCTGGGGAAGGACAACCAGCAGCTCTGCGACTGGAGGGTTGGCTGGAAGGGATGGAGGCAGCAGGCCCACTGAGAAGTCTGCTGGAGTCTAGACATGAGGGGCTAAGAGCTGGAGACAGGCTGGTAATCATTGTTCTGGAAGGGGAGGATGATGAAAAGTTTTAAAAGAAAATTTGATGTCCAGCCAGCGTGGCTCAGCGGTTGAGCATCGACCCAGGATCCAGGAGATTGAGGTTCGATTCCCGGGCAGGGCACAGGCCTGGGTTGTGGGCTCGATCCCCAGCAGGGGGCATGCAGGAGGCAGCAGATCAATGACTCTCTCATCACTGATGTTGCTATCTCTCTCTCCCTCTCCCTTCCTCTCTCTGAGATCAATTAAGATATATTAAAAAGAAAAAGAAAAATGGTAAGATTTTGTGGCTATGAAATCATACTTAAAAGGAATCCCCCTCTCAGGGTCCAGAATATTTAATAGGAAAGTCACTTAAAAGAAAGGTGCCGAATGCAAACTTGGTAACAGTGGTAAGACTATTTATTTATCTGGGAATTTGTTACTGCTTTTTGTCAAACAGAACCAGACTTGTTTGCCTGGAAACAGCAGTTTCACCTCCATGAAGCTTGAAACTAGAATCTCTTTAGAGACAATGAGACAATAAACCTTAATGGCCCTTTTCACAACACACAGGCACAAAACAATATAAGTCAATATCACAAAAATAAAACAAGAACAAAAGAAAAGAATTGAAAGACCAGAGAAGCTGAAAGAGGGAGAAGCCAGTAAATCATGTGTCTTGGAATCAATGAGGTCTGTGAAGAGGAGAATCAGGACAAAAATAATGGGAAGTCAGAAACAAGAAAATAAGTGTGTAAATAACCCAGTGAACTACCTCCCGCAGAAAGAGCACTCAATCTGTAAGACAGATGCTAGAATGTAACCCACATTTTGCAGATAGGAAAAAAATGATGAAGTGTTCACAGAGAATCAGGGGGATCCTATGAGGTGAAGGGTGGGAAGAAGATCACAGCGGTCTCCTCCAGATTGTGCTTTTTCCCCAGTTAATACGGTCAGCATGTTGTTATTTCACTTCATCTTAAAAATCATTCCCACTCACCCCTTCCCGTTTGGGTCCAGCTTTCAGAAGTGGAAATGAATGATACAATGTACTGTACGCGACTGGCCAGTAGAGGGCAGTGGCTGCTTTCTTGCCAACCGCTCACCAACTAACAGCTTTTGACTTCCAATTCACAGGTTGTGATTCGGAAAGTGTAAGATCTTAGACACCTGGCTGTTTTTAAATCTCCATTTCAGCAAAGGAGAACATGGTCAGAACTGGATAAAAGTCAACAAGTTAGTGTGGTGTCTCAGAGAAACAGCCTGGAATAGTGAAACACCTTAGAACTGGGAGTTAGGGGACCTGGTTTCTGGTCTGAGTTCAGAGGATAACTCACTTTGTGACGGGCAAATCAGTTCACTTCCTCAGTCGGGATTGCTGCATCAATCCCGCCAAGGTCTAGATACTTCAGATAGAAAATCCTGACTTCTGAGTTAATCACAGATTTTCTCCGTGGAAAGGAACTTTAGGCATCATCATCGGTCCAAAGTCTTTCCAGTTTACAGATAATAACAATAGTGATGATAGTAGTTAACACGTATATAGCATTTACTATGTGTCACCCGTACAATATATATTAAGAATATATACATATATTTTTAATCTTTGTAACAACCCTAGGAGGAAGGTACTAATATTATCTCCATTTTACAGAGGTTGACTTTCCCAACATGTCAGAGCTGGCAAGTGGCCAACTCTTTAAACACACATAATTTGGCTCCAGAGTCTGTGCTCTGAATCTTTATACTTAATAAGTAGGGGGACTATAGCTTGCAGAAGTTACATGACTTATACTGGGTTGTACAACCTATTGCAAAGCCAGGACCACAATCCATACAAAGCTGACTTCTTGTCTCACGCTTTACCAGCACGTCACTGTCTCTCTTGCATGGGCTTTAGTTATTGATTACAGTAATAAGTACAGTTAGGTTTTTGTTTTTTAAAATGAACCTAGATGGCTTATCTGGAATATATAATTCAGGTACTAATTGTACATCAAGGGCAACACTTCCTAGCCATGAATGCAGACATACTCCCACTAAATGTAATGGATTGTGGACACTATTATTGAAAGATAGAATTGGGCTTCTGATATGTTAATTTACAATTCATTTTACAACTGAATAATTGTTTTCATTCGTTTAAAATCTGATGACAAAATTTAGCCTAAAATGAATTCAAGAGTCTTAAAGAGACAGCAGGACTTAAGCCCCAAAGGAAATACAGCTTTGAAGAAGGGACAGCAAAGTCTTTGGCCACTTTTAGGCTCCTCTTAGCTCTTCAAACTATTTTGCACGTGTAAATGGGATGGAAAATTAGAGCACAGTTATATAATTTTCAGGTAAATTCTTGTTTAAGTTTTGGGTTTGGGACTAATCCTAGTGACAAGTTAATTTTATTCATTCTGGAAAATGCCACAACACATGTGGAAATTCCCTAATTTAGGAGAACACAGAGAAAGATGAGGGCATCGGGCTCCCAGATGCACTGGGAGGTGACCAGGGTGGGAGAGGAAACGGATTTGTCAGGGAGCTGGGGGAGCTGGGGGAGCTGGGGGAGCTGGGGGAATGGGCTCAGGCGTTTCCGGCTCCACTCAGGCACTAGTACACGTTTAGCCAAAGTGCAATATTCACAGGCAACACTTTGGCTAAGCCCTGTGGCTTTATTTCAGGGTTGAACATTCGACAAGGCACACAGATGGACTCACTAGCATTTGTGATGAGGTGGAGGCAGACGTGCTGTAAAGTGAGCCAGGTCATTTTTCATGATATCATGTCATCTTTCAATCAAATCCTTATTCATTTCCGAAAATTTTACTTTCATTACAGTTCTGCTTAAGGCTCAGCCAACCAAGATTTCGTGACAAAACTGGAAGGTTTTTGTTCTAGTTCAAGAAAAATAAAATCAAACCTACCTCTGCTCAGCTTGGCTTCGAGTTCAGAGGTTTCTCTGTTAATCAAAAGAGCTGCGATACACCTTTAATGCTGCTCAGTGGTTAAAGACCAGGCTTAAAGTGGCCCTGCTCCTGAGGATTTAAATTTAGACCCATAAAGGGGCGCTTGTGCAAAAACCGTAAAGAACATTCAATTTGTTCTATTTGGAGAAAGATTTTACTGGAAATATAAATTTCACTTAAAAAATGTTTTATGGGGTATAGAGGTGGAGAAACCCTCTGAAGAACACAACCATTTTTCCTGTGAACTGAGGATTTCTGTGCTCAAGTCAGAACCCGCTGGTGCTTTTCCATCTGAAGTCTTCGTTCTCTCCAGGTATTAACTTAGTCATCTCCACAGCGACTAATTGAAATATCCCAAAGGATTATACCCTTATGTGAGGAGTCATGCGGAGAAACAGATCAAATTCTATAACTGCAAAGGTTCTTATCAAAGTTGCTCTAACAATAGTGCTGCACTTAAAAATCGATTAAATATAACAGAGGTGCTGACACAACTTCCTTGAGATGGAAAGTTTTTCATTGTCTGTGTTATCAACATTTCTAGGTCACATCACCTAAGAAGCAAAAATGTCACAGGTATAAGGAATTGACAGTTTTGTTTTTTTGGGTTTTTGTTTTTGTTTTTAGTCTAGTGAGTCTTCTATGAAATACATCAGTTTTGTCACCAATATCCATCACCAAAACATTCTGGCAAATAAAGAAGCCAATTTCCCTCTAATATTTATAGAATAACCAGAATTGTAAAACTTAGATGCTTGCAAGGGCTGGGCAGCCACACAGATGGGGAACGTGCGGTGTTAGCGCCTAACTGGTGCCACTTTGTCGTTGCTGGGCCCTTAGGTCATTTTTCCCCCTCCCACAAGAAGCTGACAATCTGAATTTCTGTGTGGAATTGACCAGGTTTTAAATTTTGGCAACTGATTCAAAATTGTAAAACTGTGTACCGGTCAAAAAAAATATGTCTATGGACCAGGTTGAGTTTGTGGATTGCCATTTTTATGACTTCAGATATAAAGCAATACCTGGAGTATCACTAAATAAATAACAAAGTTAATGGAGCTCAGAGCTTTCTGTGGAATTTTAAGACTGCTTCAAGTTCATGCTGACCCATCTCTGCTGCCGAGAGGTCAATGTTTCTTTTGCATATCCAATGGGAAACAGTGGGCAACCAAAAGCAAAGGAGCAGGCAGGGTGGACTTATGAAGGGGTGCAAATGGTAACAGTGAATTTCCCTCCTAGCTGCATCACTTTAATAATATAACTCGTTATGGGAAAGTCAAACATCCCATTTACTTGGAAGGGCATTAGCAGCACATCCCAATAGAAACATGGAAGCCGTTACCTAATTCTGCCATGGACACCGTTGGGGAAGTCTCTCCGTTGGTGAAAGAACAGTAGGGAAAGAAGCCGGATGCTGGTGTGTAGTCGCATATCGGTTCTGGTTTGATTCCGTTGATGTCGAGACCTGACTGGTCTGGGGAAGGCTGTATGTCCAGGTAGAAGCTGCTGACGGCAGAGTCGGCCTTGCCGCCCTCGGGGGTGTGCCCGTCGATGTAGCTGCTGAGGTCGTCGTGCAGTTCCGTCAGCCCGTTGGCCGAGATGTTGTAGGTTGGGGTCAGCGGCTCGGCCTCGCCAGGCTGCTGCTGGTGGTCCCGCTGCTGCTGCTGCATCCGGTGTTTCTGCACCTCCGCGTACAAGCTGTCTCTCTGCTTTTTCGACATTCGGCCAAATTTTACAGCTGGAAGACAAAAGCCAAGCCACACCGTATACAATATGCTTTTCTTCACTATCCTCTCTGGCACGCGTTAGGGGTTCCTTTGAAGTCCCAGACAATGTCGATTGAGAACCACATAACCACGGAATAAAGACGTGGTCTAGAGGTGAAAACAGTCCCACCCCACACCCCCGACGGCAAAGAACATCCCAGCGGCACTAAGGATGGGCAGGCAGAAGAGACCCGGGGCAATGCCCACCTATGGTTTGCTGCTGGCCTATGACCCTACGCTCAGTGGGAGCCACTGGCACGTGCCTGCCCGGGTTCGTCCACGCAGCGGGGCTGTACCGTCCCTTTCTCTTCGCAGCGTTCAGACCAACGCACAGGCTCACAGAGGCATAAGCAGTCGAACCTCATTTTCATTCCTTCCACTATTCTGTACAGTCAAATAAATTTCTTCCCGATCAAAGAGCTGCATCTGGGGCTTCATTAAGGGAACTAAACAGATTGGGTGAGGCCTTTGCAATTCCCTGAATTACGCCTCTGAGTCTACCGAAGAAGCCCCGTCCCCTGTGCTGGGTCATGGCCCCTGTAAAACGCTTGGACCCATTTTTAAATGACGCTTTCTCCTGTCCTTATTTTGCCTTAAGGAACAAGAGTATTAGAACTGTGGAAAGGGCAAACACTGTGTAAGATCCCTGCCTGTTGGATGAATTTGTGTTGGAAACACTTCTTGTGATGCCCGTGTGTCCAAAGTGGAGCAGCAACTGTAGTAACTCTCCAGTTCATTCAGAATCCCAAGTGATTTCTCCTGCAACACCCATATATTTGAGGAAAAAAACCCTATGATTTCCTGGTCTGAATTCTCCCACTAACCCATTTATTTTTCAGCCCGATCCTGTATATATAGATAAAGACTCTGCTGGAGGGACTGAGATGTCCTAACTGATTGTGGTTAAATTTAGAGCTGATGGGGCGGATGAATTCACCTATTTGACCATCATCAAAATTCTGCGAGTCTATAGGAAGGAGGCAGGATAGATGGACATGAAGTTGGGAACCACGGCCACCACCCAGTGGATTCTTTTTCTGCCGAGGAGGACATACTGTCCCTTTGAAGAGAGGAAACAAGTGAGCTTGATGCTGGTCAATTTCTGGGTCCCAAGACTCAAGGAACAAACGTGGGAGGAGCTGGTCAGACAGCAGGCTGACGTGGGCTCTGAATTTCAGGCCTAAATCTGTAAAAGCCGCAAATTCACTCCAAGCCCACAGCAACATGCGCTGTCTCCAGAAGGCATACTGAAGGCACTTTATTTTTGTGTGGAAAAAACCTGTATTCTGGAACAACCAAGGGGATTAATACCCATGGGGGAAACTTGTTCTGCTGTGACTCTGAATGGTGTTTTAACGTTTGCCCGAATATTAACAACAGTAATCACACCATCCTGTAAGTGAAATGAAAAGACCTGCTATTGAGAAAATGCGCACACAACTTGTAATTTTAACTTATATAAGAGATGAACCCAACTTTGTGGGTTTAGTGCCACTGGAGGGTGAAATATACAGAGCTGCATTCACAGGGGTTTCTGAGAATACGGTGTAAGTTCTGTAACCTGTATATTCCCATGGCAAAAACTTCACTCTAGTTTCTACATATTCTGAGAGGCCACCCTGTGCCCTACTACTGGAGGTCACCACTACTTGTGCCTGGGCAGGTCTGCAGGCCCTGAGAACATCTGATCGTGGGGAGGACAGGCTATCAGAATGCCTGCCCAGCATCCCGAAGTATTTTTCCACAGGCTGAAACCCTATTGGAAGAGATGTTCCCTTCAAAGAGCTGTTTTAAGAGAGCCAGCCAGTATATTTGGAAAAGTCCTTAAAAATGTGCCCGCTGTATTTTCTGCCCAGTTTCCTTGTGTGAGCATAATTGTCTTGAAATCGGTGTGGATTATTCAGTGCACTTAGGATAGCTTTCCAGGAAGATCTTGAAACGTTCTGCAACTGAATGGTACATGGTCTCTATTTCTTAAAATAGCTTCTTTTAATGAAAGGAACATTTGTCGCCGAGCTACACTTTGCACTATTTTCACACATTCTGCATGTACAAATATTTGACTTCGGCATGTGATTCAAAATATCCAGTTAGCATAAAAGCTAACTCAACCCAACTGCCAAGAAGCTCACTAGTGTAAAGCATGTAACAACTAGCTCTTGCTTGTGTTTCCTTCTAGGGAAAATGCCTGTAGGAAGTATATTTATTAAGGCCCTCGGATGACACTAACCTTCAATCAGATCATCCACTTGTAATATCTTAAACATCAAAAATCCGAAGGTGTTCTGACCACACCTTCCTTGCCCCCCCGCCTCCCCGCCCCAGTTAGCTGATGCTGATGGATTATGGAGAATGAAGTAACTGCTGTGAAACCCGCAAAACCACCAGGGGAGGGAGGGCATATTTTGAAGATCTGGGCCCAGGTTTCAGAAGGCACTTTCATAACCCCTTGCTACCATACAACTCAAGCTGAGTGCTCACCATCTCGAGACATCCCTACGGCAAGGCATTTCTGTAATCGACAGTGTTGGCAGCGATTTCTACTGGTTCGATCAATCAAACAGTTCTTCTGACGAGGACAGGAATAGGTGGCATTGCTTTGCTGACTTCTCCTGAAAAAGCCCTGTGATTCAGTTATAAAATATAAAAGAGGTTAGTGTCAGTTTGAGCTGTATGACACTAAAGGCAGTACACTAAGAACCGAGCGGCATTAATGTTTAATGAGAATTAAACTTGTAGCGGAATCATCCAGGAGGCCATTAATGAAATTAAAGTCACTTCTTTTTCTTTGAGTAAAATTGATCTCCAGAGTCCAATCCTCTGTCCCTTACACATGCAAAACTTGCTTTCACTCCAACAGACGGTTGCCTGGCCCGGTTCTTGGCTTCTGATGGTCAAAAGCAAGGTGTTGATGGAACAGTACAAAGGCACTTATATTTAATCTTTATCTCCAAAAATATTTTTAGTAGAATAAACACAAAACACTTCTCTGGATGTCCAGAGATAGGGAAAATGCATCTTTACCGTAACCCAGGGAGGCTGCAATCCTCACACACTGTGGTCATCTCTACTAACCCACTGAAATTCATCACCCTTTACGTGGCTTGCATTCCTCAATTCAGAATCTACTGCCCCAAGAAGTTAAATGACACTTGGGTGGATTATTTTGGCAGATCAATCAGACTGGGAATACTAAAACCTGACGATTTGAAAATATCATGTGTTCAGTATCATGAATGATTTAATGAATCCAATTTGATGTTCATCAAGTTCCACTTATTTGCTAGGCACTGTTTTGGAGATGAGAGGGTGTACAAAGACACAGGGGGAACTGCTGACTTCACGGATTTCGTTCATTCATTCACTCATTTTTGCTAACTTCTTGAGTTGGATCCTTACTAGCTCCTTGATTTTCAGTGTTTGTTCTTAAAAGCTTCAAGTTTTCCTTTTAGTTATGTTTTAGTAGCAACCCACAGGTTTTGCTATGTGGCATTTTCATTATCATTCCATTGAAAACATGCTCTAATTTTCAATAGGATTCTTCTTCAATCCACATGCTATTTAGAAGCACATTTCTTTTTTCTTTTTTTCTTTTTTTTAACATATCTTTATTGATTTCAGAGAGAGAAAAGGAGAGGCAGAGAGAGAGACAGAAACATCAGTGATGAGAGAGTCATTGATCGGCTGCAGCCCGCAACCCGGGCATGTGCCCTGACCGGGAATCGAACCCTGATCGCCTGGATCCTAGGTCGATGCTTAACCACTGAGCCACGCCCGGCCGGACATAGAAGCACATTTCTTAATATCTAAATATATGGGTGGGTTTTGGTTATCTTTTTATTGTTGGGTTATCTCTCAGTGGGTTTGCAGTACTCAGAAAAAAGAGAATGTAACTGAGTTAATTCTATGGAGCAGAGCCATGAAGTGTACAAAAGAATATGATCATCCCCAAATCTTTAAAGGTTAAGATAGAAGACGCCAACCAAGGGGACAGTAGCGGAGAGGGGAGAGGTAAAAGCCTGAAGGACTGGCAGAGTGCTGGGCAGACTGATAAGCGTCTATTCTCTCACCTAAAGATCTTTCTGGAGGCTCACTTGGCAGTTGTATCAAAATCCTTAAGAACTACCTATCCCTTGCACCAGTGATTGCTCATTTAGGGAATATATTCTAAAGGGATATTAAGAATGTTACAAAGATTTACCTACAAGGATGTCCATCACAGCACTATCTGTAATATAAGAAATTTAGAAAGATGCTAATTCACATTAGTGAATTAGAAGAATTATATTGGATATCCACTAATTTCAGCAACCATTATACATGGAATTCCAGAAATACAATTATTGACATAAAAAGGTAATGCAAATATACTGCTGAACTTAAAAAAAAACCCCACACAGCTGAAGAACTAAACACGATATAACCCAATTTTTGAAAAAAGAACCCATATACTTCACATAGAAAAAAACTTTGGAAAATTATGCTCCCAAATGAAAAGAATCATTGGCACCAGTTAGTGGGGCCATGGGTGATTTTAATTTTCTTTCTGTTTATTGGTGCTTTCTGATTTTTCTATAATATGCAGGTGGAAATGTATGTGAGGCACTTGGGGAAAAATAGTCCAGTACATCTGTTTCCTTTTGTGATGGCTGGGGGACTATGTGGATTTAACTGATGGATATGATGATGTGACCTCAGTTCCCAGTGCTTTCCTTTTGGAAGCCAACCTGGGATGGCAGGGAGGGAGCAGGGCACTGCTCTCTGCCAAGCTGCTCACTAACCTCAATGTGGGCAAGGCTTGTCTCTCTATTGTAGTTTAAACCTCCCTTATATCAAGTCTGGCCTCTTCTGCAAAGCAATTTCTCTTTTCTCAAAATATCTAAAGCTGTGGGTTTTTTTCCCCTCTGTGAAAAGGAAGTGAGAAGGAGGAAAGCTTTCTTTGGGGCTTAATGGTGAGAATTCAAGAAAATATAAATGGTAACAGAGGCAGATAATCCTTAGAAAGAGATACCAGGAGGCCAGCTGTCTGGGTATTTACTTTAGTCTGAGACAGAATCTCTGTCAAAGCTAAAAGGTATTTCTTTCTTTCTTGAGATTGTACCACCATTCAGACCTTCTGTGTCTGAATCTATCACTGCAAGTGTCTAGGATCAGGAATTACGTGCTTTTCCTTTAGCTGAGGCTGAAATTTGCTTGCTTGACAATTAGCCTGTTCCATTTTGTTCTATAATCGTTGATTATGGAGAACATCTGAGCGATCTCTGTTTTTCCTTCAATGGAAGCAGTAGTTTGGGGGCTGCCAAACTATCAAACAGCATTTAGTCTGTACACCAAATCACAGCATCGGCCGCCTTTCTTTCTAGGTTCTTTCCCACCTTTAGTATTTCTTCAGAGGATCATCTCCAATTTCTCCACTTCCTTCAAAAATCTGAAATCTAGAACTAGATACAGCTCTTGAATAATGATCGGGTCGTTAACAAAAAGGATGCTACTTTTCAGTTTCCACGTATTAAACTCACATTAACATCGGCCACCACTAATAAGGTCCCAGAATGTTAGCACAGAAGCTATAGGGAACCACCAGGGCGCTCTGCTCTAAGGGAACTCTGGGAGGGGATGATGATGATGATGATGATGATGATGATGATGATGATGATAAGGGTTTGGGGACAGCTAGGGAGCAACGAGACCCCATGCTCTTCACAGCACCATTTATTCTTCATGGAGCCAGTGGAGCACGTGACTGGAGTAGCAGAGCTAAGAACCGGAGATGAGATCTTTCTTTTGGACTAAGTCAACATCATGGCCACAAGGAGAGCCATCAAAGACTAGAAAGGAGGGGTCAAGTGGGATTACACAGTGCGAGCCCTGAAGGGGGAGAGGATTAACCTCTGTGACACGGATCAACCCTGAACTTTGCATGTCAGACAGAATGAGGACCTGTTCTTCCCTTTTCCCCCTCCTCAACTATTCTTTTCAGCATCCCTTGGGGCTTCTCAGAGGTTTAAGGATTTAAGAAGTTAAATTAATAAAACAGTTAAAGCTAATGAACACACAAGAGGGAGAAAGACCAGACGAGGGAGAAGGGAGAAGGTGGAAAGCATGGCAGGTGCCTTCCTGCCTAAACACAGATGTGTGCTCGTAAATGGAGAAGCAGGATCTTGATGGACCGGGCAGCGATCCTGGAGAGGGTGTCACTGAGAAACGAGTGAGCTCAGACATCAGTTCTAGGGGTCGAGGCCACACAGAGAACAGGGACAAGCCAGTGCATGGGGTTTTGGGTGGGATGGAGGAGGTATGTAGAAAGAACAGAGAAAGCGCTGAAGCTCTGAGTTAGTTGGGGAAGATATTAAGCACATAATTATGGAGTTTTATTTCTAAAAGATGAGCTAATGAATTACTTCATTCGCTTTCTTAAGAGTTCATTTTTCACAGAGGTCAAAATACATGGAGATGTGCCACCGTAAGCACGTTGGGCTTGCACGGAGAGAGCCACCACCAATTCCAAGGCAGTGCATCCTGGGTGTGTGCGGCACGCTACCCCCACCTGGTGGCAGCACACTAACGTGCAGCTGCTGCAAACAGTACATTAGAAAACAGGCCTCCCGGGGAAGGGAGTTGAGGGATGGTCAGCTTAGTAGCTCTCAAAAACGACGCAGAGAAACCCATGGAGCTTCTAAAAAAAATGCGCTTTAGGTCTGTTGAACCAGAACCTTTGAGGACGTGATCCAGACATGTATATTACTTTAAACAATATGAAATTGTCATTTTTGCAGGTCAAAAGAGCAGAAATGTCAATTAAGATTTTTTAAAAATTGAATTTATTGGGGTGACAGTGGTTAATAAAATTATATAGGTTTCAGGGGTACAATTCTCTAATACATCATCTGGATATTGTATTGTGTGTTCACCACCCCAAGTCAAGTCTCCTTCCATCACCATTTATCCCACCTTTACCTCCTCGACCTCCCCCCACCTCCCTTTCCCTCTGGTAATCACCATGCTGTTGTCTGTCTATGAGGTTGTTTTGTTGTTGTTTTTTGCTTAATCCCTTCACCTTTTTCACCCAGCCCTCTCCCCCCACCCCCTGACAGCTGTCAGTCTGTTTTCCGTATCTATGTGTTTGTTTCTGTTTTGTTTGTTAGTTTATTTTGTTCATTAGTGTCCACATATAACTGCAATCATAGGAAAAAATAAACAAGTTGCCTGGCGGGGTAGCTCAGTTGGCAAGAGCACTGTCCTGATACAACAAGGCTGCAGGTTCGGTCCCCTGGTCAGGGCACATGCAAGAATCAGCCAGTGAATGCATAAATAAATGAAACAACAAATCAATGTTTTTTCCTCTTTGTCTCTGTCTCTCTCTCAAATCAATGAATAAAAAAAATTTTTTTAATGGGACTACGTCAAACTAAAAAGTTTTTGCACTGCAAAGGTAACCATGAACAAAATGAAAAGACAGCCCACTGAGTGGGAGAACATATTTGTTAATGATACATCTGATAAGGGGTTACTATCCAAAATATATAAAGAACTTATAAAACTGGACACCAAAAGAACCCAAACAATCCAATTAAAAATGGGCAAAGGGCCTGAATAGACACTTCTCTAAAGAGGACATACAGA